CAGTCAATGGTTTCCCGCGCCAAACTAGTTCAAAGTTTCAAGGAGACCGCAAACGTCTACCCGCGAAACAAGCGAGCCGCGTTCTGTTCATTAATACCACCCTCTTGTTCTCGTGATGGCGACGTTATTTGCCACGCATGCGCCAACCCTATGACGTCAATGGCTCCGTTCACGAAGCATACAGGTGTTGGTGTCTGGTACTCATTAAATACCGGAACGATGCGAAAGTATGCATGCCACCTTATAAAAGTAACACAGCTTCTTTCAATATTACTTATTAAGGCAGAGAATTCTAGACAATTATATTGCGATAAACAACGTAGATCCATTTTGTCAATATCTGAATGTTATAATTGAACGTGGTAGAGCCATGCTGCAGCTATCTTAGTTGTATAGTTGTAGCACGAATGGGTCGGCTAGATCGGGGAAGGACCACGCTCTCACAGAATACTAGCGTAAAATAGTAGCTTAATGCTGCTGTGTTTTGTATGGTAAGTGTAGAGAACCGGAAACCCTTTTTACTGGAAACGAGGCATTCCATCTTAGTCCTCACGGATGTCAACGCATCTGCATCTTGATTCGTAATCAAGGATAGATGTAGATGTCTATGAGCCACAGCAACCACTTACCATCAGGTGCACTGTGTGCTCGCTTATCTCGTTTATTCTATATAAAAAAATAACGTATGTCATTAAAGTCTAAATGATATAAAAATTATTGTTATTAATGTCATTTAGACGCTAAAACTTTTGCGCATGGCTTGATTTATCATCTGTCCTCGACCACTCTGACACATTTCTTAAACCAATACCACCGCGTTTTTTAAGAGACCGTGTTTACAATCTGGTATACCTATCACAAGTCTAATGCTGAACCTAGGAATCTCGCTCGTATTGTACGAAACCTTTATATCTATCAGTTCTCATTGTCTTTGAGGTCGTCACGCTTTCTAGTTGAATCTACAGTGCATCGCTTCGTGCTGGCGACAGCAAGTGGTCTCCACCCAAGAATCACTCATCCCCATCGGTTTTCGGTAAAGAACTAGTTCGTGGAACTAGTTTGGCATATTACCGCTTTAGCTTTCTCTACTGACACTACTCCGAACTTAACTCTCAATTCTTTGCACGAACAGAGACCACGTTAATACTCTTCGTACAGCATACGGTGAGAAATCATTCTTCGCTTCTGTAAGTCTACCAACACACCCTGTTGTTTACGTTTATGTTATAGGCAACGAACGAGAGGATTCGTTCTTTGACAGGTTGTGATGAATGAATACAGCATATCATGGATTTAATTTTTATAGCGGGTATATTTACTATAGTTGCCACGAACAAGTTGGCTACCGCAGTTTTTATTTTTATTTTGTTATTAGGATAACGTTACTGCCCATCTCCTTGTTTGTTTACCTCTGTCACATCTTACGACACCCACAGAACCACAGGATATTCTTATACCGCTATAACATGAGAAAACAATGTAATAGAGAGTTCGTCAGTTTTCTCGTGGTCCAAGTTTGACTTTCTTAGTTTGACCTTGTAGTATTCTATGGTTTGATATTTTGTACTCATAGATATTATTTATTTAAATTCTATTATTATTCTATAATATTTGTAAACAACTCTTATAAATATCCGCACAGTGACATGAATATTGGAGATAATCTTCACCTTATCAATTTTCACCTTTAGACTAAATCGTTAAGAAGTATTCATTATCGTAATTGTGTACAGTGCCATAATGATATCGTCAGTAAATTGAAGAACAATTATTCGGTATTATTGTTAAAAGCATATCATGAGGAGTTTCTATGATATAATGTCATAATAAGACCGAAGAAACAGTGGCGTAAGAGAATCCACTAGCCCATCATTGCCAATGAGTGCTGTAAGAGACGACAAAGGTACGATAGGTACAATTCAGTGTTGTAGACGGCTTGGGTTGCTTTGTATTATTATTAATAATAATAATAATAGACTAAAATCGGCGTAATCTAACGTCGGCGCAGTCAGTTAGCACCTTACCAAGCGGTGCGGCAAAATTGAGGCTGCAAAGGCCCGTTTGTGCATATGGCTCCATCATGAAACGGCGCCGGGTCTGAGCGTCTCCCGTTAACTGACGCCCAATTTATGGATGATGGAAACGAATAGACCACGTATAGGGCCGCTGCCTGGGGGTCGCCGGGGCGCGTCTAGAGCTGGCGCTGGACGCGACAGCATGCGGGCCACCAGCCGAGCGCGAGGTGTTACACGACCACCTAGTAAGCATCCATCATCTCCACCAGATAACTTGGTGTCGGCAGGGTCCTCTCGAACTCGGCAAGTGGCACCCGCCGCTGGTGGAGTACGCCGCATTCGTTGGACGAAGGAAATGAATACAAACGTATTGCGGGCGTATTTTAGGGCGAAAGGGGAAGAAATTGGAGGTTTTGCGTACGGGGCTAGGATGCATCGACTATTTGCTGAGCTGGAGCCGTCTATTACCGTTACCGAGCAAAACCTGGCAGACCGAGTTCGGTACGTCATGCGCTCAAAAATATTTGATGACGCCGAACTCGAACGGCTACGACGTGAGGCTATTCCTTCGTCAAATGAAAATACTACGACAGGTGATGCGCCTCTACGAGTTGCAGAGCAACCCGCACACGTAGATGCCGCCGTAGATCTCCTTGTGCTTGACTCAGGCGATGACGGAATAGTCACCCAGGAACAAGAGCATATGAGGAGCGTATTGGAAGAGGCGATTATTGAAACGCGCAGTACGCCTCACGAGAATCGACCGCGACTTCCCTGTATACCCCTAAGCAAGCGGAATCGGGCTGTCGTGAGGGCTCTCAACTCAATGCTGGTGACCTATTTGGAAGCCAGCCGGGACCTTTGCGACACGGACTCAATTCTTTTTCGCGCCGCACTGGCAGTTTCCCACGGCTGGACGCGCTACTAGACGCAGTAGAGCTATCCCAGCCTGGAGAAGAAGGATTGAGCATCGTATCGCAAAGGCAAGGACTCTCATCGGCAGACTAATAAGCTTCAGGTCGGGCAATAATAGGCCGAGAATTGTGCGCACCGTCAGGGTGGCGTTTGCTGGGACAAACATCAATTTGTCCCAGCCGTATATAACGCAAAAACTGACGGAGCGCATAGACGACCTGAAGCAGAGAAACGCTGCTTGGGGGAAGCGGATTCGACGATATACCGAGAGGTCGACATGGTTCAACCAGAATCGTCTCTTCCAGAGTGATCAGAAGAGGCTTTATGAATCATTGGAGCGACCAATGGTACGTGGAACGGGCACAGCACCGAATCAGGCCGACACTATCGCATTCTGGCGATGCCTGTGGTCAGAGCCCGTAAACCACAGCGAAGGCCCTTGGACGGAAGTTGTGGCGAGTCAGTGTGCGAATGTTAGGTCCATGGACCCCGTCATCATAACGCCGGATGACGTAGCTGAGGCGGTCCGTAGGGCCCAGAACTGGAAAAGTCCGGGACTCGACGGACTGCATCACTACTGAATGAAGGGGTTCGTGGTGTGTCACGCTGTGCTCGCCCGACAGTTTCAAGAGGCTCTCGACCAAAAGTCGCTCCCGAGCCTCTTCACTACTGGGATCACTCATTTGGTTCCTAAAGACCGGGATTCCACAGACCCGAGCAAATACCGCCCAATAACGTGTCTACCTACCATATACAAGACACTAACATCCATTTTGAGCGCGAGAATCACTCGTCACCTGAACTCAAACCAGGTGATGTCGCGGGCTCAGAATGGATGTTGGGGCAGTGGTCGTGGAACCAAGGAACCACTCCTTCCACTTCCACGCGGTCATTGGCAAGGTGGTTAAACGCAACCGTCGGAACCTCTCCGCCGCCTGGATAGACTATGAAAAGGCATTCGACTCCGTGCCTCATACATGGCTTAAGAGGGTCCTCGAGTTGTAAAAGGTTAATTGTACAGTTCGAGACTTCCTCGGGCAGTGTATGGGGCAATGGAGTACGATCCTTTGTCATCTAGGCGAGCGGATGACGGCTGCGGAGAACCACATATGGATAAGAAGGGGTATCTTCCAGGGCGATCGTTTAAGTCCAATCTGGTTCTGCCTATCTCTGAACCCTCTCAGTACCTTACTGGAGGGCTCCGGGGGGGGGATTTCAGCTTCGGAAAGGAGGTACAAAAGTTACCCACCTTTTCTATATGGATGATCTCAAGTTATTCGCCTCCAGTCGCTCTCATCTTATGGAATTGCTAAACATCACTTGTGATTTTAGCAATTCTATTAGAATGGAGCTGGGGACGGATAAGTGTGCGGTCCTCCATGTTGAAAGGGGAAGGTTTGCTAACTCTGAGGGCATAGACAGACAGTCGCCTCCCTCCACTGGCTACGTTTCGGTGACCTCTTTGGGGAAACCGAGGGTTTTGTCTGTGCGATACAGGATCAGGTTATTAAGACCAGCAATTATCGGAGATACATCCTAAAGGATGGCACCGTTGACGTCTGTCGAGCTTGTCGCCATCCCGGTGAGTCACTTAGGCATGTCATCTCCGGTTGTTCGGCACATTCTAACTCTGAGTATTTGCACAGGCACAACTTAGTAGCCGGGATTCTACACCAGGAGCTCGCTCTGAAATACGGTCTTGTGGATCGGAAACTGCCGTATTATAAGTACTTGCCGGAAGCCGTGCTCGAAAATGACCGCGCCAGGCTCTACTGGGACCGGGCCATCATCACAGACAAGACTATTCTTGCGAATAAGCCTGATATTGTGCTGATGGACCGGGCACAGTCAAGGATATTTTTGGTCGACATTACCATTCCTTATGACGAGAACCTCGTGAAAGCCGAAACAGATAAGCTGACAAAATATCTGGACCTGGCTCACGAGGTGACTCACATGTGAGGTGGATTGCCGGCCGAAATTATACCTGTAGTCGTCTCTGCGAATGGGTTAATTCCAGTCAGCCTCTCGGGTCATCTGAAGCGACTGGGACTCCGTGACGAACTGCTCCAAGTTCAAATGCAAAAGGCGGTGCTCCTCGATACCGCCCGCATCGTCCGCCGGTTTCTTTCCCTTTCCCCCTAACCCTCGGCC